GGACCATAACTAAGACCAACGACAGAAGTTTCGAAAGCTACTCGCTTTACAGCAAGAGTGACAGAGAGTATGCAGTGTAACGAATTATCGAAAATATTACGGCATTTTTCAAAGGTTACAAATATGCATTTTACAGATAGAAATAAATGTGTGATCGTCTGACCAATTGAGTCTGGATGGAAAGATAAATTTCCAATTGTAAAAAATATAGTTTCAGTAAGAGAAATATCGAGCGATTCCCTTTGATAAGTCAAAAAACTGGAGCAGGCCACACATGAATTCTATAGCATTTCTTGTGGTCAACTAATTGCTTTCTATTTCGAAGGAACTTGCTTCATTGTGGTCTTTACTTTAAGGTATATGGACCTTTAATATAGTCGCCAAGTGTTGCGAGTGCAGTGAAGAGGAAAGCTTCATTAAAACTTTTGTCTTAACGTCAAAAATCATTAATATAAGATAATTCTGAAGTCCACACTATTTAAGAAAGGAAATCAGGGGACGCCACCTAGTTATTCCCTTGGTAGGATGGGTTACGCGCCAAGTTCTGCTACGTCAGATATTTTATGCTATTGCCGTAATTCGAGTAGGTATTTATACTCATCGGTATCTACCAATTGTTTTAAACAGTTTAATCAATCATGGTTTGTTTCGAAGAGATGTTTTTTTACTTGCTCTGCCTTAGCGATATTAAACTGCAATTTTAACTTTCGTCTGAAGTTACTCGTTATGTATTTGGAGTGCCCGAAAAATCATAAACTTCTTCAACGCTTAATTATTATCACCTATTGTCATTGTTTTTTTTAAACTTACACAAATTCTGAATTGTTTATCGCTAAAGTGACATCGATTTCTCAAAACTTTAAATATCTATCTTTTTTCATCAGTCAAACTACATTGTATTAGTCGATCGTAGCAAAAGTGAGTCAGGGACATATACATAATTGCAGTTTAATTGTTAATTTCACGAAAAATATAAACTTTACTGTGCCCAGAAAGTCTGGAGAGTGTTTCTAATTGAACGTGTTAACAGTAGATTCGAAAAATATACTCTGTATGGTTCTGCAGAGATAATAGTAATGAACAGTCCATTTTAGAAAAGACATTCAGTTAGTTTTGCTTATCTAGATTTTTTATCACAACATTCCTTACTAAGTATCTGTGTATTATACCGTTTTTGGTACTTCTTAATTGATTTCAATAGATCATACTTCACTGTCCACTGACCAAAGCTCAAACGGTTGTGGCCTGGGAATGGCGCGAACCTATACCACCTGACTCGCAAGTCGCTCGAAGTCTTCCCTCGGACGCAAGTCCCAGCTTTACAGTGTCTTATTCGGAGCCGGGAATTTACAGCAACGGAAACGTTGAGATTGGTCCCGACCTCCTCTGGGTACGCGTACTTGACCCCTTCTCACCTGAGGCTCCGAGAAAGCTGTGGTGCAAATTTCGCATGAAATCTCTATGGAAAACGAAGGTTTGTGATAACTATAAGTCCTCTTTCGTAACTAAATACCATCCCTAACACATAAACCTTCATAGCTTTCAGTAGATAATAGCCTTAGGAGGCAGTAAAATCAAATGGCAGAGAGACGCTCGACGGGTTGGACAAACATGTAGCTAAAAACTTCTGTAATTTTCTTATTTCCGACGCCCTGAATCCATGCGCATAGTTTCTGACGCGTCGGTCATTATTAAGGTTAATGCCGACTGGACTCAGTTTTGATAGGGTAACCCTTCCTTTTGGAGATGAATGATAGACATGAAAACCATTAGCCGTGAAAAGTCACTTTTTGGGTAGCTACACAAAGTTAGGCAGATTTATTAGCATAAAACAAACTATTTAAATACCATGATGATTATTTAGATAAAATAAGCTACATAAGAGCTACATGCTGCCGAAAAATGTAGCAGGATCTTGCTTTGCACAACTAATAACAAAGAAAAACTAGGATTTTCCATTTTTAGCATCGTTACGCCAGAGATATGATCTTTTCTAGACCAGTCGATGTGTGTTGTTGCAGAAATTTCGCTGGTTTTTATTGTCTGTTAAGTTTGTATAACCATATTTAAGCAGCATTTTTAGGCACAAACTAAAACAGCTTCTGGAAGTTTTCAAATTTTATTTTGCCTCTATTCACCGCATCACGGTTAGCATAGGCATTCGCTGAGAAGGTGCTTTTGTATAAATAAATTCGTCATGCTTTGCTCTTTTAATAGTGCTATGTCTAGCATATGCACTCCGAACAATTACGATTAACTGAGCGTTAAATATTGAGATTTAGTTAGCGAATTGTTCAAATTCCTTAATGCTTTTGAATTCGAAATTTCATATAGCAAATGCCTTAATACAAACTATTGCATCTTATTAGAGTAAACCGTAATTTATTTCGAGTATCATTATGTCTATTCATTGATGTATAACCGTTTCATATTACTCGACCAAGATATTGCCGTCAAAATTTGGTCGTCTGTGTGTTCTTTCCTCAAAAGTATACACCGCGATGTCCAGACTTTAGGTACAAAAGGGGGCACCTGTTTAGAAGCTTCATTTTAGTTTATCTAAAACAGACAAGGACAACTTTGTCCAAATCTCTGTTCTTGTAAACGTGCTTCCTTCTCACGATCTTTCCATGAACAGTTGCAAACAACTATCGAACAAGCCGAAT